ATATTAGAATAATATAATATATAAAGGAAATATAAGCTGATTGGATGTTTAGATTTTACTACAGTTGCAAGTTTTTCCAAATAGCAGTTGCAATTTCATTAGTTGTATGGAGTTACCCTTTAAAATGGAGATCATACTGCTCTGTTTTCTCTTGTCAATAATGATAATCTGTGATCTGTCACTTGAAAAATTTGTTTTTTTTCTTGATAATATAATTTCAACTGGAGAAGGCTCACCATCAAAGGGTCTGAAAAGTCTGGCATTTCTCCAACCAGTAGTCCTGCCAGAGTGCACACCAGCATAAGAAGCAAACAAATGGCCAAGATAGGTAGAGGCCAGTCAGTTATCAGCTGAGAGTAACTGTAAGCAAATCACAGTAACATAATAAAGTCAGTGTTTATCTTAACATGATGACTATATTCACTCGCACAGACTAGGCCATACATATGTAGGGCCAATCTGAATGATCTTGCCAATTGGCAAACTATAGGTCATAAGGGTAAGAACAGATGATATGGTCAGACTGCCCACCATAGCATTAGCACACAAGTATATAAAAAGTAAAATTGCAGGGCTGTAGTCCTCGAAGAGGAATCAAAGGATGCTCAAGTAACACGTAGCTGTCCCCTGTTTCTCTGAAGGTCCTAACTAAGGGCCTCTGCAGTACAGTGCTTTGAAAATGCCATAAATAGCAGAGCTGATTTTTATTTTTGTAGCAGTAATCACACATTTGAGGACACAAGAGGTGAAGCCTGTAAAAAACAAAGTAATCAACGGTTAGATGTGCCACGGACAGCTAGAATTCTAAATACAACTTCGAGAAGCATTCTGACTGCTTATCGTTGTTGGACGTTTATTGCCCCCTTATATAAGTTGCAACTACTACTGTTCTAGCTTTAAGGAAAGTAGGTCATTGTCTAATTGTATATCTACAGATGAAGAACTGACATTCTGTACATACCTTTTTGGCATCCTAAATGCTTTATCGTGTCTTGCAAAATAAATAAACAGCAATTAATATAGATCATGCCTGATATCAGTGAGGAGAAAGAAAGAATTGAGACAGCTATGCAAGAGACAATAAGACATTACACCAAGGAACATAATCACATACATTATGAACATTTCAAATGATAAATATTTAAAACAGTAAAATAATCATTTATGTACAATTTCCTTATTTCCTCCATCGGCATATTTAATGCATAAAGAAGCAGTTGCACATGCAGATGTTTGAGGCTTTTTTCTCTATACATATTGGATACAAAGATATCTTATTGTGAGCTTTAGGTCCCATTCACACTAAGGTGTTTTGTAGCTTGTTTCCCTAAGCGCGTTAACGCTTGACAAAAGGAATCTCATATTTTCAATGGTCCCTGTTCACACCTGAGTGCAGTGTTGCTTATTGCCAGCTGTGTGAAGTTCTACATGACCTCATAGACTGTAATGGGAGCTCTTTAAAATTGCGCATTTGTGCACTTTTTGAAGGTGCTCCCTTTGAAAAATCAATTCTGCTCCTGTACTACTACTACTAAGTTGCACATTAAAATGCTTGAAAACAATGCATACAAATGCACAAAAAAAGCTTCAAATCACCTGGCTATGCTCATGCTTAGGTGTGAATGAAGCCTCCTAGCATACCATCTCCATCGGTGAAATATGAAATGAGGTCCTGCAATAAAAAAGGGTTATACAGCCACTTTGTTCCTAAGGCACTACCTAAAGGTAAACCATATATTGGGGTTGATTTACTAACCTTATAAACACACCACGAACATGTATACACCTCTGTAGTGTGTTCCCTCCCAGCATGATCTATGGGTGGAATCTAAACACCTTTGTAGTGTGTACACACCCAGCAGGTGTGTTGTGCAAAGCCAAGCATGAATTGCAATGTGATGTTGTGTAAATTAGCTCTATGTTGTGTTGCTTGCGTTGATGAATGCAGGAATGTAAATGCATGAGCTAACCATTTTTGTCTAAACTGTGAAGCAGCATTATATATGCATCATGTGCATGATTTTTCCATATATGGCATTAGTGGAAATATGCTTTTAAAGACTTTTTGGTTGATAAATACGTTTTGCTGTGTGAAAATCACACGCACCTGGTGCGTGCGTGTGTTTAGGTTCGTAAATCTCCCCCATTGTGTTAATAAGTTTCCTGTGTTGGCAGAGCAGTATTTGCAGATACTATACAAACAATCAGGAACCAATCTGTGATTCCTGGTCATGTGATCACCACGATTAGCCAATCATGATAACTTTGAAACAGAGAAAGTTTGTTACCGTTTCCCAGTTTTTATTCACATTTCCTGCTCTATGAGTTCCTTAGCCTCTGGGACCAGGCTGTGGCTGATCTGTATAGTTTCTGATCATGTGATTAGCCAATCATGATGATCACAGGGAATTTCTGCTACTTTGGCATAGTATCAACATTTCCCTCTGCTTGCCGTATTGATTTTTCTTCCCTCTCCATGGCATAGAAGAAGATCAGTGTGAAGGGCAAAATCGTGTTAAAAATACATATTTGTTATTAATATTCTGTATTCCCATTAGAGCGGTCATGGACAGGTAGACATCTCAAAGAGACAGTAAGGCCTTACTCACACATATGTAAAGAAGAGGCATTTTGTTTGCGTTATTGAAGATATCTTACCACTTTGCACAGCCCAGTACACACATGAAATTCAAAATGCATTTGTGTTGCTTTGCTTCCTGTTTTTTTTATCTTGCTAGAAACGTTTGGCAGGTGCTGACCACTTGCAAAGCTTATTAAACACCGCAAATTCAGTTGAATGATAGTGTGCTTAATACTTGCCAAACACACCCTAGACCACATGTGTCAAACTCAAGGCCCAGGGGCCGAATCCGGCCCACCAGGCCATTTCCTAGGCTTCTACTTTCAGATCTGGGTATGAAGTTATTACTAAAACCAGTGATAATCCAATGCAGAGGCAATTATGATAAAGATTAGATACATTTATATAGTCTTACAGATACCTTTGAGGGAAACCATAATGTTGATGCGGCCCACGATTAAATTGAGTTTGACACCCCTGCCCTAGACCCTTGCAAGGCATTCGGGGAGATTTTACTACATTTTTCTTCCAATAAAAACTGGTTAACAATTCATTCTGAAAGGTTTAGGAAATACTTCCTAAATGTTTGAAAAACAGGCTAAAAATACATTTTAATGCAATTCACAAGCGTTTTAACATTTTTTGTAATGTTAACTCAGCCTAAGACATCTAATTATCCTCCAATGTCTTGCATATTACTGGGTCCTACCATCTGCTTTTTCTCAGTTCAGCCTATGGTTAAAGGCTAAAGGTGGCCATACACTGTTCTATTTTTAAGAAAAATAAAAACAGATTCCTCCATCAACACATACGAGCATTGATCTAGGAATCCCCACTGTCGGAATACCCAAACAGAGTCGGCAGCTCATTGGCTGCTGGCTCTGGTCGTTCGAAGACTTTCTGACTGGCTACTTCGATCAGCTGAAGGGTGTCGACAGCAGCACCCGCTGTGCAAATTCCGTCCGCTTCCTAAAGAAATTTGCATCATGTATGGCCAGCTTAAAAGAGAACTATGGGGTAAGTGTTTTTCCCCATAGTTCTCTTAAGGGTCACGGGAGGACATAAACTAGCGTCCTCTCATGACCCATCGCAAGCTATAGCTCGCGGTATACTGAGACCGCCTCAGCTGGGACGGATCCCGACATTACTGTCGAGATCCACCCAGCTGCATGAGTGACAGCTGGCTCTGCCTATCTAGAGGCAGAGCTAGCTGTGCCCGCCCCCTCCCCCGTCCGTTCCTCCACTCCACGTTGGAGGATCGGAGTGGGGAGGGAATCCCTGCAGGGAACCGTGACTGACAGTCACCGCTCTCTGCAGGGACATGATCGAGAAGTAAGCGAGCGACGGTATGTGTTCGCTCACTTCCCAATCTATTGAGCCGACGTGTGACAGTTTCATTGTCACAGGTCAGCTCGAACTATGAGGCTGAGTGATTTTCACTCACCTCATAGTTCTCCTTTAAGTTTACTTTTCTGACCATGTTTCATGGTTCACTCATATTTAAGATGTAATATGAAACATGGTCACACTTCACACCCCCCAGCCCCTCCTACTCTCCCCCGCTTACCTGAATAACGGGGTTCTATTTTTCTCAGCAGAGTAATTTTTTGGTGTAACTTTGATTACGACGACAACATATAAACTATACATCGCTGAACATTGCAGCCTAAAAGCCAAAATTTTGCCCTAGACCCCACAAGATGCTGAAATGGAATTCAAAGCATTATTATGGGGTATCATGCATCACAACCTACATATATTTGGTGTTATTGTAATCATAATAAAACAGAGAAAATATTGCATGGGATTAAATAGTATTTACTATAGATACATTAGTGATTATGATTGCTTTGCATGTAATGAGTCTATCTCATATATTAGTTTCACCTTTTAAGTTGAATTAGTGAAATAAATGAACTTTTGCACGATATTCTAATTATTCGCGTTTCACCTGTACTAGGTTAGACTGGAAGATCAATTAATATTGTGCAGTATAAATTTTAAAATTGCAATTACCTTACAGTCACTACATGATGCTGCACTGGATGCGTTGCCTTCTGGTTACTGGACCACTGCTTCCATATACATCCTGTAGAAGGATGTGAGATGTCGGTAGAAGCATTCACACTGGAGTGATGGGAACATAATTTTCTTCTTTCTTCATGACTAGACAGATCCGGTGCGGTGTATTGTAATTTATGCTCCTGGTTGTTGCAGTGACAACATTTTAAATGCTGATGTGCATCACTTACATGGGGAGATAGTTGTCCATTGGATCTGCTCATAGATGGTAGCTGGCTGTATGTAGAAGTAGACAGATGGTCTCGTACACAGTTTGGTGGCTTCTTTAGAAAGCAGTGGTGGACCTCCTGGACAGATCTACCATTGGTAGATCCATGTCCTTCCCCGGTATTCTCAGTTTCACCACCTTGACTTTGTTCCTCATCTGTGTGATTTCTGCAAACAAGGATCATTATAATGAATCAATGCTTCTTGGATGACTATGATAATGCTTCTTGCATCACTATGATAAAGCTTTTTAGTTGAAAACTTTCTTAAAAAAAGAGTTTTATTCCATATCGGCAAATTCAACAGAATAGAACTATAACTAGGTGCTCTAATTGGTACTCAGAGATTCATAAGAAATCCCTAGGAGAATTTTTTTATTAATCAGTAAGTATTATTTTAGACATAGTATACTGTTTCCAAGATAAGAGAGTGCCACAACTGGTGTTTTTGAATGTTACTTATGTTTTTTGGGGTTACTTTATGTTTAATGTTAGGTATTTCACTGAAATGTCAGTTTAAAAAATAAAATGTTTCAATCAGTTTTGTAAAGGTGTAAAAGAATGTACCCATTGCTACAAAGTAGATAGCCACAATCTAGGTGCTCTTGTGAAGGTTTTGTAACGCCAAGGATCATGTATAGAATACAAAAGAATAATCTTACATGGCAAGACTCACTTACAGTGACACTGGTAGACAATGACTATCACGCACTGATGCTGAGTGATGCTGATGGTGACGTTTAGAGACTGTCATTGCATATGACTCTCCATGTTGTTTTTTTTAGATTTAATTTGTGAAGCCTGTTTAAAGCCAGCTGAACGAGGAACTTGAGCAACTGTTGTATGAAGGTAATGCAATCTTTAACATTATAATGTCTCTACACTTTACTGTCTTAAGACGATCAACAAAGTACCATGGCTTGATAGGAAATGTGCTAGCCCACCTATATATTTAAAGTCAGTATGGGTAAGGTACAGGTGAAGAGGGGAGTGGCAGGCAGTAGCTTGAAGTGAATGTATTCTTATCTCTAGCATGTTCTGATGTTGTAAATGTTTAATTTGCAGCATATGAATTGTGCTACCAAGTAGAAAATCATTCAGGACAGATATCCGTTCACTTACATAACATCAGGCTATAAAGAAGGTTATACCAGCTTTCTCTTTCTTTGCAATAAATTTACTCTTCAGAAGTCTCTTTATTAAAGTAAAAAACCCCAAAAGTTCCAAGCTGCTACATTAAAAAAGGAAAGTGTGACAATAGTCAAATATACTCTACACTGCAGCTGTCACATGCTGGCTGTATACTAAGAGTTAGTCATTGGAGGGACAGACGGTGAAAGAGTGGGAACGAATGGCTCGAGCTCTAGACAGTCGGAGCCAGCTGTCACTTAGGAAGCCAGGGTGGATCCCTACAATATTATCAGCTCTGTGCTGTCAGTTGATAGTGGGCATTAGCCTGCTACTTGCTGGTTTGGAGTCACCTGAGTACATTAGGAAATCCTGGCACCCAGAAGAGAAGTAAAGCCAAAAAAAACCCATAATTTTCTCTAATCTCCTAATATCATTGTCCAGGAATATTGTACATTGTCCAGGAATATTGTGTACATCGAGGACAACTCTGGCACCAGCTCAGCATAGGCCCAGCCATGTTTAGAAGTCCTTATGCTGCGAGTGGGCCTTTGGGATATAGTTGGCCAATATTGCATATGAATCATTAGCCTTTCTGCTAAACATCAAAACCAAAACACAATAAGGGCATAGGTTAAACAGGTTATAATTTTGGTGGAAGAACAATCTTCTGCTTGGCAGCCCTAAGAACCATGTGCTTGTGCTGATATGAAAGACCATTCTGCAAGAGAAAGTCTCTATCGGATATTGTTATCATTGGTTTGGTATGGCAGCATTCCATAAATAGCAGAATCGAGTCCAATGACTGGATAATAATGCATTTCCCACAAAATAAGGTGCTGACTCATGTTAGTTTTGTGTATACATTGAAGCATTAATGTGCAGATAACCACATTGAATCCTCACAGTATTTACTTTCATCCATGATATGGGCAGATATACAGTATGTGCACAGGCTACAGCAGTAACTTAGCAGTAAATATACTAAATGTGTTTTGCAATGGACTGTATGCTTCAGCATCCATTCTTTGTGGGCACAGTTTTTCGATCATTTGACCACTGTTAGCATTTTTAAATGCATTTCATATAGGAACAACACAGCATGAAGTGTGAACTTATGTCAGTAAAGGCAAACGTAAAAGCACATGATGTGATAGAGGACAGATGGAGAGAAGTAGATCTCCTTCCCTTCACATTATACACATCTATGCGGAGAGAAATAGATCTCCTTCCCTTCACATTATATACATCTTTGGAGAGATTCATCACATCATATACATGTAGGGAGAGAGAAGTTGATCCCCTTGCCTTCACATTATATACATCTATGGAGAAAGCAGTAGACGTCCTTTCCTTCACATTATATACATCTATAAATAAAGAAGTAGATGTCCTTCCCTTCAAATTATATACAGTACATCTATGAAGAGAGAAGTAGATCCCCTTGCCTTCACATTATATACATCTATGGACAGAGAAGTAGATATCCTTCCCTTCACATTATATACACCTATAGAGAAATAAGTATATATTCTTGCCTTCACATTATATACATCTATGGAGAGAGACGTAGATCTCCTTCCCTTCACATTATATTCATCTATGGAGAGATTCATCATAGACATCTAGGGAGAGAGAAGTTGATCTCCTTGCCTTCACATTATATACATCTATAACTAAAGAAGTAGATGTCCTTCCCTTCAAGTTATATACAGTATATCTATGAAGTTAAAAGTAGATCTCCTTCCATTCACATTATGTACATCTATGGAGAGAGAAGTTGATCCCATTGGCTTCACATTATATACATTTATGGAGAGAGCAGTAGATGTCCTTTCTTTCACATTAATATACATCTATAGGGAGAGAAGTAGATATCCTTCCCTTCTCATTATATACATCTATGGAGAGAGAAGTAGATTCCATTGCCTTCACATTATATACATTTATGGAGAGAGCAGTAGATGTCCTTTCTTTCACATTAATATACATCTATTAGGGAGAGAAGTAGATATCCTTCCCTTCACATTATATACACCTATAGAGAAATAAGTATATATTCTTGCCTTCATATTATATACATCTATGGAGAGAGAAGTATATCTCCTTCCCTTCACATTATATACAGTACATCTATGGAGGGAGAAGTAGATCTCCTTCCATTCACATTATATACATCTATGGAGAGAGAAGTAGATTTCCTTCCCTTCACATTATATACGTCTATGGAGAGAGGAGTATATCTCCTTCCCTTCACATTATATACATCTATGGAGAGAGAAGTAGATCTCCTTCCCTTCACATTATATACGTCTATGGAGAGAGGAGTATATCTCCTTCCCTTCACATTATATACATCTATAGGGAGAGAAATAGATGCCCTTAGCTTCACATTATATACATCCATGGAGCAAAAATAAGATGCCCTTCCCTATAAATTATATACATCTATGGTATGGAGAGAGAAGTAGATGCCCTTCCCTTCACATTACACACATTTGAGAGAGAAGTAAATCTCCTTCCCTTCACAATATATACAGCTGTGGAGCGAAACGTAGACCCCCCTCTTCGCATTATGTGCATGTGGGGGAAGAAGTACAAACAGTGCTGTGCATTGCTACACCATGCAAAACTATTAGGGAATTATTGAGAAAAGACTAAAATACATCTGTGCTCTTATCCTGATTGCCCATGAAAAACACAAGCTACATTTTAATTTAATTATTAATTTTAATTGCTAACGCTATGGACTAATTATAACTTATTTGCTGAGTAATTGTTTTCTTTTTAATTAGGATAATTGATTAATGTCAGTATACGTAGCGTATTATATGAAATAATATACAGTAATACCTTGGTTTACAAGTAACTTGGTTTGAGAGCGTTTTGCAAGACAAGCAAACATTTCTGAAAAATTTTGCCTTGATATACAAGCAAATGTCTTGCAAGAAGAGCAAAATTTTGTAGAAAAGCACCACCCGAATAAGGCTGTAGCAGTGCGAGCGATGAGTCTGTTTAACGACAATGCAATGTCACATTGGACAGATTCCTTGTTAAGGTTTCACGAAATGAAAAAGATTCCATTGAGTCAAGAGATAGCAGTGATTCCGTTAGTGATAGTGAAAGTTGTCCTACACAATAATCCTCCTCTCTCTTGTCCCTCTCACACCGGCCACAAAAGGTACTGGTAATTGGTTTATTTTTCTTTATATTTTATACGTTATTATATTACAGTACAGTATTGTAATAATTTTATATGAATATTTTTGGGATGTGGAACGAATCATCTGAATTTCCATTATTTCCAATGGGGAAACTCGCTTTGATATACAAGCGCTTTGGATTACAAGCATGCTTCCGGAACGAATTATGCTCGTAAACCAAGGTATTACTGTATAACAATACTTATTAACATGTAATAAACTGCTTATTTACAGTAAATGTATGCATGACGTTTAAAAGTATACACCAAATAAAAACTTTTAATATCCTGAAAAAATAAAGTGAAAATCATTTGGGTGCAGAAGGCTGGTATGAAAACTATTGATTGATAATCTGATGTATAGCAATCTGCAATCTTTGATGTGGTCACAAATGCTTTAATTTTTAACTTAAAGGAGAACTATGGGCTAAGTGTTTTTCCCCATAGTTCTCCTAAGGGTCACGGGAGGACACAAACTAGCGTCCTCCCGTGACCCAAAGCTCAGTATACTGCGAGCTGCAGCTCACGGTATACTGAGACCACCGTAGCGGGACGGATCCGGACATTACTGTTGAGAGCCACCCAGCTGCGTGATTGACAGCTGGCTCTGACTATCTAGAGGCAGAGTCAGCTGTACCCGCCCCCTCCCTCGTCCGTTCCACCAGTCAGCGCTGGAGAATCAGAGCGGGGAGGGGGGAAATACCTGCAGGGAGGCAGGGAGGGATAGTTTCATTGTCACACGTCGGCTCGAACTATGAGCATGAGTGAAAATCACTCACCTCATAGTTCTCCTTTAAAGTTGATGGTGAGCAGAATACAGTACCAACCAGCCGATGTGG